TACACGAGGGAACAAAGCAAAAATCAGGAAACCTAAGTTCTGTCCACGCTTCTGCTGTGGATTCGTTTTGAGTGTCTGGGCTGGTCTATCTCCAGTGACACCCTCAGGTTTCATATTATTTATCTTTGGAATGCATGAGTTGTCTCCTACCTCTTTTAAGTAGCAAGAATGTAACCATCTTTCCTTATCACCTGCACAGAAGGGAGAATTAGAGTTTCCTTCTTCACCCTCCCTCACTGCCTTTCTCTAACTAGCAAAGAAGTTTATTTTATTTTAATGAAGTCTGTGAAAAAAATGATTCTTGCTTGAAAGCAGCCTTTTCCTTTTACTTAATGACAGCTTCAGCTTCTAAAAGTAAGCTAAAATGTGGAAAAGTCCCATGTGGTTTTCAGAATGTACAGATGAGCATGTGTGCTGTGCTTTCAAAAAATGTCTTTGTTAGTGCCTCCATTGTACACACAAGCAAGAACAGTCTAGACCCTCAGAGGGAAGAATTGCAAGAAGACTCATCTGTATAATTTCTCAGTTGTTTGTTTCCCAATTGTTCACTTTAGGAAAAACGGTGACAACATTAAAGTCACCTTGATGTGTATGTGCTGTTGCATTGCTGAGAAAACGTGTAGCTGTTTTCTCCCTGCTGTGCCTGATTTTCAGACACTCGAGCTATCATTTCCGTTTATATTTTTTAAAGTGTATTTATTTCTGCCTTGGGAGAAGGAGACTGACAGAGAGAGGAAGACAGAGAAAGAGAAATCTCAGTCTTCATACATGATCCTGGGGTGGATCATGTATGGTCCCAGCTTTAGTCAATCAAGATCATGGAACACGTGTGGCCACTGTGTACATGGAGACCTTGGGCTGCAAACCTGGAACCTTCCCACATGCACTCGGCATTGCAGAACATGTGTTACCAGGGCTGGCCCAAGCAAGCATTTATTTATTTATTTTTAGAGACAGATTTTTTGCTATAAGGCGTGTGCACTCACCAGAGAAACAGAAAAAGAAGGAGGGAGGGAAAGTGAGAAATCCCCCCCAGGGTGGGTGGCCACCGAACCATACCTTCTCTTCCATTTTCCTTTAGGGATTTGGGGCACCCGTGCACACACACCTGGCATGAGTTTGAAGCTGCCAGATCTGGGATTCAAACAGTGGTCGGCCATGTGGGAGTCTAGGGCCTTAACCACTATGCCACCTGCTGTCCCCAATCATTTATTTTAAAAATAAAAAACAAAAAGTGACTGTTTACCCTTCTTATGCCGATTATAGTAAATAAACTGGTGATCAGTGGGTCTGGCCTTTGAAATGTGCTTGTTTGGAAAATGAGAATAGTGCCTTGTCCCGCTGCTGTGCTGACTTCTGCTCCAGCCTCTTTGGTCCTATTGTAAAGAAGAAGAAAGTGCTAGGGACCAGCAGTTAGCATAATGGCTATGTTGCTGGACTCCCATGTAGTAGGCTGCGGTTCGAGTCCCAGACCTGGTGGCTTAAACCTCACGCTGGGCGCGTGTGCGTGCGTGCCCAAGATCCCGAGAGGAGAATGGAGGAGAAGGGATTGCAGCATGGCCATCTCCCCTGGGGGCTGATTTCTTGCTTTCTATCTCTCTGTCTCTCTCTATCTGTCTGGTGAGCACGTGCGCCCTATAGCAAAAACCTCTCCAAAAAAAAAAGAAGAAGAAAGTATTTGCTTGAAAGGCCCATCTCTTCCCTGTATTTCCTCCTTCTCCCTCTGATTCCTTGCAGTCAGTCAGGTGGGCCCCAGATGCATCCCTGGTTGGCCTAGGGTCTTGAGCTTCCAACTAAGCAGAGCTTCAATAAAGCTCAGAGCTTCTTTTGTCAAGCCTGGTTGCTCTTTCTTTTTAAGCCCACATATGCTTGAAGGGGAAGCTAATCCTTGCATTTCTGATTTGTTTACATTAAAGAGTTGTACTGTGAGAGCAATTTGATGTCTGTGAGACTGTTTGAACATTTAATAAAGCTTTGGGAGTAACCTTTTCTCTCAAAACAAGAGACCAGATTTTGCCATGTATAAATAAACATAAGATACCAATGGACTCAGAGCTCCCAACCTGGAGATTCTGAACGAATCCCACATTTAAACAATCAGTATGTTTTCCATCCTTATTTGTCTAAGAATAAGTATAAAGTCCCCCATATGAATTCATTTTTTTTTCCTTTCGCAGATGATTATCACATCTCTGTGTTAAATAGTACTAAATCAGATCATTTTTTTCGAATTCATTCATTCATAAAACATCCATTGCATACCAACAAATGACTAGGGTTTTTCACATTCAATGAACTCGTGGCCCATGGCTTGGTGCAGAAAACAGACTTAAAACCAAATTATTATGATTCTGGTTGATAAGTGCAATGGCAGTGAGGCATCAACAGAAGTTAGGCATTGGTGTCTGCCAGGATACAATGAGGGGAGGCTTCTTGAACCATAAGAGATGAGAAGAATTTGCCATTCTAAGTGAGGAAGAAGGCACTCAGGGTGTAAAATACCCGTGTGCGTGCGTGCGTGTGTGTGTGTGTGTACTCACTCAGGCACATGTGCCCATGTTATGGTGGCCAGGAGGAGGAAGGATTAAAAAATAATCAAGCAGCTCAGCACGGCCAGAAATGGAATGTCTGGAAGGTGAGCCCAAAAGGTGAATTGGAAACAGATCAGGTTGGTTAGCATACAGAAAGTTTATCTGGGGTAATAGATGGTGTTTTCTTTCTAGATTGATCACCCATGGATGGTGGACTGGGGAGGGCTGGAAACCA